GTACATCAAGGGTGGCTAAAACTGGATCTTTATCTTTCAAAGAAATAGCTTTAATTCTGTCAAGAACGTCTGGTGTGTCGCGAATGCACGTAGGCAACTCCTTAACACATTCTTTGATATAAAAGTCCACATACTTGGCAACTGGTTCAAGTAAACTGCCCTGAGCGGAGACAATAGGCCTCCCTGGGGGATTGTTGATATCCTTATGAATTTTTGGGATAGTGTACAGTACTGGATGAGTAGGATGTTCCACAAATAGATATCTGGAGGTTCTCAAATCAAGGTGGCCCATTTGGACTCCCATCAGGATATGGTCTTTTATACATTTTTGAAACTTGTTGACTGGATCAAATGTCAGTCTTTGGTATGTGGTGCTGTCAGCTAGTTGGCGCATGATCTCCGTTTTATACTGTTGATATGACATAATGACTATAGAGCCTCCCTTGTCCGCAGGTCGGATAATTTCATTATCCTGTTTCAAATCTTTCAATGCATCCATTTCAGCTTTAGTGAGGTTCTGTCTATGATCCCATGGATTCTTTATAATCTGCTCCGTGTCCTTTCTTACTGTTTGCATGAATGTTTTAATGGAGTTGTTCATCATTTTATGTTCAGTGGTATATTTCACTTTGAATGGATTTTTTTGCCCACAAGATGGATTCTCTTTACGGTGTTCATTATTAATCAAGATGTGTTGTAATTTATATAACTCTCTCAGTTTTAAAGGGGTCAGGCTTAATTACCGGTACAAAAGACAACCCTTTGGATAACACTGAGAGATGATCTTTAGTTAGTATTTTGTTGGACAAATTAAAAACATTAATCATCTCTTGCGGATTGGTGGTTTGCCTTTGAAACTTACATGTCTTTCTTCCCTTTTGTCCTCTACGTGGGATTGCATTCTTCTTCTGCCTCTGGTGTCTATTCTGGATGTCCCAGGTGATTCTTGTGGGGCTGCGCCTTCCTCTAAAAAAGGATCTATTTCACCCCTTCGTTTGTCATCTCCGGTTTCAATATCTGAGGCAGATTCACCAGAACTAATATCCACCGTTTGGAACGTGGGTTTCTTAATTCGATATTTAAATCGAGGTGTAAAATCTTTGTAGGATGTTTGAGTACCGCTCAGCCATCTGTACACTTGATGATACTGGTAATCATGATTCACTTTGGCTAATTTTTGCTTCTTGAATCTTATCAATTCATTCTTATATTTATTAATGTCATCCTGCAGCTTCAACATTTGCGTAGTCACTGCTGCAGATTGTAAAGCCAGAGTGTTAGCCGTCTCAAAATCCTGTATAGACTGTTTTACCATGATTAATTCCTTACCAACCTCTTCCACTACAATTACCATCCAATCCAACGAGCATTTGTTAGCAATGTTCATCCATTTCTTACAGAAATCTGGGTTCTGTCGTCCAATAGTTGGTGCATTCCTTACCCTGAATCCTCTAGGTATTCTTTTAGCACGGTAGTAATCCGAAATGAAAATCCCATGCAGGTCCAGATCAACTTCCCGTCTCCTCAATTTCATAAGGTCATTCGCTCACCCACACAGTGGAAAAAGAGTCACCATTTCACATCATATTACATGCACCACTGATCATGTAATTTATCTTATCACATGCCCGTGTGGATTAGCATATGTTGGGAAGACGGACCTTACCCTTAGAGACCGTATCCGTGGACACAGGTCGGGTATCATGACAGCCTTTAGGGACCAAAAGACAGACAAACCAGTGGCTAAATATTTTTTAGCTGCATCACATAGACTTCCAACACTTAAATTTATGGCTATAGACCATGTACCCCCTTTATCCCGTGGGGGTGACAGGTCTAAAATATTACTTCAAAGAGAAGCCTATTGGATTTTTAAATTGGACACTGTCACTCCTAAAGGTCTAAATGAATATAATACTTTCTCTATGTTCTTATGATTCATTCATCCTATATTCACCTGCATTTTCATTGTATATATGTTATATATGTAGATAGTTCTACCTTTGAATTTGGTCCATTTGTTTTCAATTACTATATATGTTGATATATCCCTGCAGATGTATATATAGGATAGATGTGTTTGCATGTATAAGGTATCTCCTCTTTTGTCACTCAGTATAGTGTACACAGTATCTATATATGCTACCTATACATATTATTTATATTTTATGCAGATGCACATATATCTATCTGCTTATATAATACTGGGTATTTCTCTTCCTCTGGATCACACTATACATATTTTTAATAGTATTTTCTATATCTGAGTACTACACTCATTTGTGCTATCCCTGTATGGGGTTTTCAGCGCTTTTCTGAGCAGTTTATTTAATTCTCTTTTCCTCCATAGTTGCTAACAGTTATAATGTTAGATAGATCACCTTTTTAGTGATCCTCTTTAAACACTTTGGCTCTCACGTTGTAATCTGTATTACACGTTCACATATTTGTGTATTTTCGTTGCTTAGCAACGTCATAATCACGTGCGTCATCACGCCGGTCACGTGGTGTACACTGTTTCACTTCCGGGTTCGGCACGAACAGGGAATCTTCCATACACATCTTGTTTGGTAAGTGTCTATTGATATTTTTCTATATATTTGGATTTTCTGGCACAGTATATTGATCTTGAAAAAGACCCTTTAGGGGTCGAAACGTCGATCCACTTGTAGATTTTTTGCACATGTATTTTTTGCATGTAAAATAAAATTTAACATATTTTAAGACCTGTGAGTGCACCTTCTGTTTACATTTTTATATATATATATATATATATATATATATATATATATATATATATATATATATACACACACACTACAGCACCCCTCACACTGCACCACTACACACATTACGCTCCAGATACACGCTACATCCCTTACCCTATATGCACTCATAATCCTCTACACACACACACACACACACAATCTTCTATACACACTCTGGGTCCTTTACACACTAGATCTCTTACACACACACTGCACCACCTACACACACACTACATTCCTTGTAAGCAAACACATACAACATTCTCTAAACACACCCTCTCTACACACAGTAGTGTGTGTGTATAAGTGACACACACTACATCACCTATACACACACACTACTGCCCGTATGCACACACTCGCTACATCCCCTATAACACTATGCCCCTATACACGCACTCTCTACAGCCCCTAGCCACACATATTACACCACAAAATTGACCTATTTACACAATACCACACCACACTCTACACACAGGCAATCCCACAAGCATGCGCCAAACACATGCACCATACACTTTCCTGGCCCTTTTGTCCTCTGGTATCCCACTTGTGGAGACACCAGAGACAATTTAAAAGCAAACACAGCGCAAGCATGTTATTACATTTGCTTGCGCTGCGCAGAACAAATACAGGGCCTTTTTCTAATGCTAGAGCTCTTCAGCAGGGCTCTGCACATTGAACCAACATGCTCACTTTCTCTGGCCCCACCCCCTTTTTGGGGGGCCACTCTAATTGAAAAATGCCCGGGCCTAATTTTTTCCCCAGTACGGCCCTGATCTCAGCCATGAAGGTGGGACCAGCCACGGCATCACCAGCACCGAGTGGGAAAAGAAGTGAGTAAAAACATCTTCTCAATGGGATTGGATGGGGGCATGTGAGCCCCTACAGGGTAAATGTTAAGTGCCTATTGTGGTATGATGATTGTGAGTGGACATGTTGGTAGACAAAACCTTTTAGCAGTACCAAAATCATATTTTCATGTCCTTCTCCCAAATGGGGCTGTTCGATGATATTGCCATAGTCACAGTCTTTTAATAAGACACAAAGTAGAAACAGCTGAAGCTTTCCAAAGAACCACAACAGAAAGTCAAGAATCCAATATTATTAGAGCTAACATTATAGGGTGGATCACAATTAAAAAGGTATCTGTTGACAAATACACATATGTCATTGTCAGGGACTTCAGTACCTGATTATATGAGTCAATTAAAGTCAACTGATTTGTTGGAGGTGTTATAAAATAGACAAACCTATAACTTCCACCAATAATAAAAAAAGGCACAGTTGCATTTTTACTTCACATTTATACCAATAATACTTACTTCTACTCTGCATGGTGAAAGTCAAATGGCATGTAAAAAAAAAATAAATAATGTTAAACGAAACATACAATACTGGCACATTCTAATGTACATTTAACCACAATCCAAAACGTGTTGGTTTTTTTTTTTGCTGTCATGTGCTAAGAACTGTAATTTGGTCTGTGCATCACTTGAGAGCAGAAACAAATGTATAACAGTGTGTTTCGCATAACCCAATTAAGTATATCCAGGCATTGCACTACAGAAGAAATTAGTGTCTACTGCTTTGAATTACAAAATAAAAAAAAAACATTGCTTTTAATATGAAGGAAACAAATTAGCTCTACTGAGTAAATAAAAGTTAACAGTCAAAAAAAATATACTGTGCAAAATTAGATCAGAGTAACGTTACCAAAATTATTAAATCATTATAAATAAAAAATGAAAATCAACTGCAGATAACTAAATGAGGGAATTGGTTTTGGAGATATATCACAATAGCATGAGACTGTAAGATGCTCCAGGGAATCAAAATGTGTCTACATCATTATTTAACGTTGAGCATGCTGACAAGTGTAGTCAAACAACAGCTTAAAATATATTACCCTATAGAGATTTAATTGAGGTCTAAGCAATGTCCAACTCCTAAACAGGGAAATTACTTTACATGGATTAACTAATTTGAATCACTGCTGCTTACACCAATCTGGAATTAAAAATATTTAACATCCCTATGATTTTGTATACATTAATTCCATACATTATGCAATCTGTTGTTCTTGCTTTTAGTTATGTGGCTTGTGGACTGCTATCAACCCAGCAACAGCAGAAGCACATTGGTGGCATTCAAGTCAAGATGTAATTGCTTTTGTAATTACCGTAGTGGTCAGGTGTTGTGGGGCTTCATGGTTTTCTATAGGTGGTACGTTCATTTCAACCCAACGTACTATAAAAACAGGAAACATATATATGTTTAAGTTTTAGACTATTTAAAATATGTGCAAGACCAATGCATATCCCAGGTTAAGTTCCACAAATGCTAATAGTCGACTACAATTTTTGAGAATTAGTCGACTAAAACTAAACCAATTGAAATTAATGTACTACAAACTAAAACAGCTTTTTAGTCAAAAGACTATGACTAAAACTAAATTGAAATTTAACACTGCACAGAGGGGCTGTGGAATGGGCAAAAAAAGAGACAGACCAGGGATTGGGAGAGAGACACCTAAAGGGGCTGGAAAAGGGACAAAAGAGACAGAAAGAGATTTTAAATAAACCTATTAGATTTTAGTTGTTGTTACGAACGCTGGTATAGTAGATACCTTGTTCGCCTATTCCCTCCCGAACTGCTGAGACTAAGTGATTATAGCTTGCAGTTCGGGTGAAGATTCAAACGGTTCCAGACAAATCTGGCATCCAAGTAGTGTTCTCCACCAGCAAGTAGACAGTTACCCAAACTAGAATAGATGAAGGGTACAACAGGAATGCAGTTTATTGGTGCCACATTGGCTTTTATGTAAGGGGCACTACCACATGGACCTTGTTGGGGACTCCAACACAAAGTTTACAACCAATAACAATGCAGTTAAAAAGTGTGACACTCCGAATACAAAGAGATAATCCCTCCCTAATATTTCTTCTTCTGTATTCTTAACCGTATTTTGCAAATTGACATCAACTTTGTGTAGCTCGCCGCCTTTGGTGTTGCAGATCAATTTTTGGATCACATATATACAACCTTTTAAACCGGTTTTGACTACAACGATAGCTCGATATATCAAATGGATTAATTCTTCACATCGCAGGAATAGAGGAATTTTCTGGTGCCCACTCGGTGTGAGGTGCCGCAGCGCGTCTGGCATGGATTTCGGCAGTTTGTTATCTGAGGTTTTGACTGCAGCGTATTGATCACAGAAATCTACTTTCCAGAAGTTTTATTTCCGCCATTCTCCTCATGCTTCTTTTGCTTTACTCTCAAAGCATAAAAATTGCAAATATGAGGCCTCCTTTCTTGCTGTAAAATTGAGGATTATTCTAGCCTTGGTGAAGAAAATAAAAATTTTATTAAAGACAGGAGGCGAATATTCCACCTCCCCTTGTTTTTTCCAACACTGTTTTTCTTTGTCTCTTCATGTCACTAGTGGTGTTTATGATGACGTTTCTTCTTAGGTAAGGTTGTACTTCAGGTTTAATTTTTGCTATAGATTTGTATATTTAAATTTAACATTTTTTTATATTCTTTATTTTTGTAGTGCATAGCAAAACACACAAGCTTGCATAGACTGCACAAGGTTGTAAACAACAAAGCGGTGAAGATGTATCATTAAATGTCGACGGTACTGCACTTTTTGGTAAAATATGTAAATGAGAGACTGGGAAGTCATTAGGAGCACAGTTCCATCTGATTAAACAAAGGATGCAAAATTCTGTAGGATAGAACTGTAGTTCCAATAGATGAAAACCACTAGGTGCTTAGGATTAGCTATTATAGGTGATTGATTAAAGGGACACTATAGTCACCCAGACCACTTCAGCTCAATAAACTGCTATGTTTACATTTGGGGTTAAGCCAGCCTCTAGTGGCTGTCTTCCGGAAAGCCACTAGATGCGCATCTGCGACACTGGAGGCATATTATGCCTCCATCACGCAGAGCGTCCATAGGAAAGCATTGAAACATGCTTTCTTATGGACACTTTGAATGCGCACGTGGCACTGCCGTGCATGCGCATTCCGCTCTGCTGACATCAGACGGGGGAGCTGACGTCGGCGGGGGAGGAGAGGTAAGGGAGCCCGGCGGTGGAAGAAGGTGACTAATTGAAGGGGTTTTAACTCCTTCAGCAACACGGGAGGGGGACCCTGAAGGTGGGGGCACCGTCAGGTTACTATAGTGTCAGGAAAACCGATTTGTTTTCTTGACACTATAGTGATCCTTTAAGACACGATGATAGAAAAATGTAAACTACAGCATGAACATAGATTAACGGGGAAAAATCTAACTGCAGCTATCAAATAATTAAACGATGTGGAGTATATATATATATATATATATATATATATATATATATGGGCTCGACAAATCCCAGGCTCCAGGTCGCAATGGCGACTCAATATTTTGTCCTGGCACCTGGGATTCGTCAGCCAGTTCCCTCCTCTTCCTGTCTTGATCCCAGTACAGCGCTGTGAACGCCGGGAGGTAGTAAAGAACTGTAATTACTTCCTCCCGGTGCAGAGGCAGCGCAGGGGAATGGCAAGCTAACGTGGCAGGACACCAGATAAAGCAAAGCAAACTAATGCCGCAAAGCCAACTCTGCTCGCCTCCCGCCGACATGCTGCAGAGCCGATCCTGCTTCCTGCCCGCCTCCATGCCGCAGAACCGGCCAACCGCCCTTTACCCTGCGTGCCCTCAGCGCCGGGAGGAAGTTATTACAGTTCCCTTCACTTCCTCACGGTGCACACAGGGCTGGAGAGACAGAAGGAGGGGGAAGCAGGGAGTCTGGAAGAGCGGCTGTCTACTTCCATTAGCCGCAGCCAGCCCCATTAACAGATGTCATCTGTTTTCCTGCCCGTCCTCAAAGAAAGAGAAAGTGGGAGGGTCTAGTTAAGGGTTACCTACTTCTGATTGGTTGTTATTTACGGACTACGTCTACTGTCTTTTTGCTGCTAGAGGTGACAGTAAAGAAGGAATAAGCAAATACCTGCCTCCTGTCTTTAAAATGTTTATTTCTTCAACAAGCCTAGAATAAGTCCTCAATAATTGTGTACCCAGAATCAGAAAAATAAAACAAATAAAAAAGGTAAATGTGCTGCATATTGAAGTAAGATCGATTCAACATATAAGTTGTGGTTGGTTGAGAAAGTTAATTCTGCCTCAGTGTGGCTCTGGAGGAGACAATTATGCACAGTTTCAAATTAAAGGACCACTATAGGTACCCAGACCACTTCAGCTCAATAAAGTGGTCTGGGTGGCAGGTCACCCAGGTTTTAACCCTGCAGCTGTAAATATAGCAGTTTCAGAGAAACTGCTATTTTTACACTGAGGGTTAATCCAGCCTCTAGTGGCTGTCTCACTGACCGTCACTAGAGGCCACTTCCGAGATTCTCACTGTGAAAATCAGACGCTGACGTCCATAGGAATGCATTGAGTAATGCGGCGGTTTGAATGGGCGGTTTGAATGCGCGCACGGCTCTTGCCGCGCATGCACAAACGGCGCTGGCGTCAGCAAGAGTAGGAGGGTTCCCCAGCGCTGGAGAAAGGTAAGTGTTTTAACCCCTTCAGCCCAGCGGAGGGCGATGAGGGTGGCAGGAACCTAAGGACTACATAGTGCCAGGAAAACGAGTTTGTTTTCCTGGCACTATAGTGGTCCATTAATATGAGGGACACAGCAAGTTATAGGGGTTAAGTTCCTTTGAATGTCACTTTCAAAAGTACCTCATAAAGAATGTGTGTCAAGAGAGTGCTCGTTCTGTCACACTTTTCAATGTGCAAAGTTAGTGAGGTTCACCGCACATACTTCTGAAATTTTGAGCGCACTACCGCACATGCTCGCGGTGTGCGCGTCCGCGAGCTGACTGACAGCTCAGCTCACAGTCTTTGCCTGCCCCCTCTCCTCTGCTGACAGGCAGGAGAGAGAAGGTGCGCACACAGTGCCTTCTCTCTTCTGCACACGTCAGACGTATCTTAATACGTCTGACATGTACAAGGCCTTTTTAGGGCGCTACATGATAGGAGGTCCCTCTGGTGACCGTCTGAGTGACGGCCACTGGAAGTATTTCTATCAATGTAAACACTGTTTTTCCCTGAAAATACAGTGTTTACATTAGATTGCCTGCAGGGAGCTACAGATCTCACCTGAACAAATACATTAAGCTGTAGTTGTTCAGGTGACTATAGTGTCCCTTTAAAATTCAGAAGCTGGAAGCCGCCAGGGAGGAGTGGATACTGCCGTTGGAACCAAGATAGGTTTTAACTTGTTTGGGAATGGTATAACCCATTGTGATAAGAGTTAGCCAGGGGGCCTATTGGCACCATAAATACTTAGTTTAGATAAAGTTGTTATGGTGCCTGGAGTGTCCCTTTAATGGTGTGTATCACTATATGGAACAGTGGCATCAATGAGAAGAAGAAAATATAAAACAGTGATCAAACTGATAGTATCCGCCAGCAGACGGTCTGTTCGTGTCTGCCAAGAGTGGCTAAATCTACAACTCCGATTATGCTTTGCTAGTTTATCTGGGGAGCTGTCCTATAAACACACATTTCCCTACTAAGACTAAGCTGGCCAGTGCCTGGCGTTCAGCATCCCCTAATTATGTGCCGCTAATACTGCATGCAGCCACGGCCGAGCCCCGGGAATACAGCGTTACACTGACACACTCACACTGCTCGCCCCGCGCTGCAGCAGCCGCGGATACAAATAGCTACACAAAGTCCCGAAATAGATTCCGGCCGCCGACACCAGACGATGATCCCCAGGGCACAGTGTGTTACTTTGGCGAGGACTCCAGCTCCCGCACACGGTGCAGATGTTTAGATAAGACCGTATGTTTCCGCTGGTAACAGGAAACACGAGGCGGCCATCCTACTTAAGGGCAAAGGAGCGGTGTGTAAATGTGCCCAGTTCGGAAAGGCTATAAAGCAACTGAGTAACAACAAGTGTGCTTTCTATGCAATCATTTTCATGCATATTTGCTACAAACAAATTATTCGATAGTGTTTATGTGAGGCAGGGTTAGTATAGGAGTGAGTACAACGGTGGAGACTATGGAGAGAGTTACTCTGAATTCAGCAGGGATACTGCTACCACTCTCTGTGGTGTATGGGAGGAGAGTTATGGTGCCAGAGTTACCCGGAGGGAAGTGCCCTCCTTATGGACGTGTTGATTCTGTGCAGCTTAAGTTTCTCCACAAAAAGTGTTGGGGAGCAACAAAACTTGACTGACACACACACACAAAAAAAAAAAGCTGAATAAGTACTTCAATTTATTAGAACACAGCAAGGGTTTATATAAGTTTGTAAATAGAAGTTTTAAAACCTTTAAAGGTGTGCGTATTTAGGCAATAAGGAGTGTGAGTGATTAAGGATGGGTGTACATAATTAAGCAAAGAGGCTGAGACGTTTTGTGCAATCATATAAAAAATAAATTAAAAAATAGATTAACATCATGGGCGTCCGCAGGAATTTTTCCGGGGGCAGGCATAATTGTAATGACATCCATGCTTGGCCCCTTTTTGACAGTGTCATGAAAGGGAAGGAGCATAGTCATTTTAACATAAAGCCAGGGTGAATAGCTTTTTTACAACTATGGTGTTGTAGTAGATGATTTACTGCAAACCAATTAGTTTGAATGACTATCTGTTCCTGTCCAAATTAAAGATAATAAAGTTGCGTGCACGCAGAAGTAAATTCACACTGAGACACAGAGTTCAGGTTAATGAAAGAACTTCGGAGAAGTTTAATGGCTTCTGATTAAAAAGCAGGCTCGCAGGCCCTTTTAAAGGCATTATTACATCATTGAAGAAAATCAAGATATAGACAAATAGACATTGTTAATTGGCTTAGGTGCTAAGATGTTAGTAAAATGCCCTCCCTACGGGGTGTACCATCTTAGGTCACTATCCTCGTCATGATTGTCTCCTCCAGGTGTTAGTGCCATTTTGTTAACATGAGGAGCTCACTCGACGGGAGGGGCCTTTTGGCAGCTATCCATTTAGAGTGTAGCCTGGCACTGTTAGTTTCTCAAGGTTAGGTTTCAAGGCTTTTAGTAAATACACATTTTATCAAAACTATCATTGTAAGTGGGATGCTACAGTGTTTCACACTACAGATGCATAATATTTCTTGCTGACATGCAAATTCTATATTCTATAGACAAAGCTTTCTTGTAAAACTATGGGGCCTCTTAGAGGTATAGCAAGAGGATTTAAAGGGGCCTTACAGATTTATAGAGGCCTAATAATTCTACAACAGTCCCCCCTTAAAATGTTATTTGCTAAAAGACAAAACTTAATTTGTTAGTATCAGAAGATGTGTTAGCCCAAAGACACAGAAACCCCATGACCGCTGACTTAGTGTTAATGCAAAGTGCAAGTCTATCCCTCTCTTGACCCTAACAGGCTGCAGCACATCCGTCAGTACGGTTCAGGAACACTCTTCACTCCGCTGGTAACCCATAGTGGCTTATCCACTACTTCTCCGTACGGCAGTCTACCCATAAAGACGGACGCTGTCCCTGTACTGTCCCTTCCTGGACTTTCTGCACTTCATCAGCATACGGGAGAGTTTGTAGCGGAATACAGGGTGATGTGAGGTCTTGGTCACCAATCTCTAGATGGGCGAAGGTTGGTGTTGCTTGGTGTACAGTTTTCTGCAGGAATTTCCTTAGGCATGGGAGGACACAACAAATGAGAAGAGCGAGAATAAAAAGAAAAATTAGTAAGGCAATACCAATCTGGACGAAAGCTCTCTGCCAACCAGTCATCCAACCAAACCATTTTTCCCAGGGATCAGTAACTCCAGAGTTTCTCTTTAACTCTTCTGAGAGTCTATTTAATTTATCTATGGCCAGAGTGACTTTACCATTAGGACCTGTGTTTTCTGGAATGTAAGTGCAACAAGTCATAGTGTCGGGTAGTATTTTACAGACCCCCCCTTTTTCGGCTAAGATCATGTCTAAGGCCAGTCTGTTCTGGAAGGTCATTTGGGATGTGGCCTGTAATTGCTCGGCCAAGCCCTGGAGGGCATCCCTGGTGTAGTTCACGAAGCGCTGCTGGTTGTAATAGATATAATTAATCCAATTAAGGTTTTTGTTGGCAGTGACTATGGTAAAAAGTGATTCAAAACCTACAGCGACTTCATCTCTAGCTTTAAATTCATTAGGCACCCCCCTAGGTACCCCAATGGCATCTATGTAAATGTGTGGGTCAAAACTGCCTTTTACTGGGGTTTCTCGCTTAATCCTAGCTAACGTCTGTGGGGAATCGTGGGTGCCGGGATGATTGTCAGAAATAATGTGGATGGGCATGATAACCTTGGCCAAGGTACACTCCCCCCACCAGCCAGTCTCCAGTCTGGATCTTAACTGCAAGTCCCCACATAGCCAGTAAATGTCTCCTAGTGACCTGGTGTGATGTTGTAACAGACGTATGGGGACAGTTCTGTAAGTGGCACAATAACCTTTAGAAAAATTACCCATGAATTTACCAATCCCGTTATACATGGCATAACAAGTGTAATTACCTCTATAGACTGTGATTCCATCTGGTGGCTTAACATTTTCAACTAAGAGAGGGTATTCTGCCGTCCATGCCATGCAGAGGGACCTATTAAAGTCATATTGGTAGGCAAAAAGGCTTAAGAAGCAATCTTCTATCTCTAAAGGGAGAGTTAGGGGGACGGTGCCAAGGTGGGGTCGGGCACCGCCACATACATAACATGCTGTTTTATTATGTTTGTTGGCATTATACCTCATCCATTCTAACCACAAATTAATGTAATTGAATCCAGTTTCAGCGGCCATGGTATCTTCAAAAGTGGGGTTAGCGATGGCCATCATATCTTTAAAGGACTGGATATGTGGTTTTAGCGGATTTGGGACCATATGATCAGCCCCTTGCCACTCTGGAGAGTGGTACATATCTCTGAGGTAGAAATTACCTAATTTGTTGTAGGAACCTTTCTTCCAGTACATTCCCATTACATATCGGTCTGCATCCTCGGGGCCAGGATGTTCAATATTTAACATTAGTTTCATAGGGGTACTTCCTCCAGGCTTTCTTAAAGTCATTCTTTGAAGGAGGGATCTACCCTGATTGTCTATCTTAGATAAAGCACTTTTGGGTTTATAACCCCAGGCAGGCCCAGTATTCCATCCTGCAGCCCCCCAGTAGTTACAGTCATAACCCCATTGTTCATCTACTACACAAACGTAAGGGTCTTTTGCTTGTGGTATATCTTTATAAATGGCTTGAATCTGTGACTTAGGGAATGGGCATTCTACAATATCACAGTAATCAAAGGTGAATGTAGCCACGTGGGTACATGATGAATTATACCAGAAAGTGTACCCACTAGCATCTTTGGTAATGGCCACTTGTTGGGCCTCAAGGAAACTAATCAGAGGGATGATGTACCAGAGGTACATGGTTGTGAGGAGTCTGCTTCCTCTGGGACAGGAACCTTTTTGCAATGGGAGGCGTGTATCCAGTTGCTTTTCCCAGCCAACTTGAATGAGGTGGAGGTGATCAGTAGAACTTGGAATGGTCCATCAAATCTTGGTTCCAGGGTGTGTTTCCGCACAAATTTCTTGACTAGGACCCAATCACCAGGGAGCAGACTGTGGTTGCCCGTATCAGAATCAGGATCTGGAATTGAAGAGAAAACTTGGGCATGGATTTTGTTTAAAGCATTTGCGAGTTCAGTTACATAATCTACTAAAACATCAGTTTGAAGTTGTAGTTGTTGGGGAAAATAGCAACCTAGCCTAGGTGCAGTCCCAAATAGAATCTCATATGGGGACAGTGAGGTAGTATTTTTGTACAAGAGCATTCATTAGATCCTTTGATAAATGTGCAGGTCCGTGTGCCCATTGTACGACTGCTGGGTACAAATTCTTAGGGAGGCAGAACTTGAGGTTGTTGGAGTACACTCCATCCTTCAGAACTGCCCCTTTCTGTTTCCATTTTTGTATTTCTTCAGGAGCAACTGCAGCCTGTTGTTCCCGTAGGATTTTTAGATCAGTTGGAAGTGTCTGCAAGGTAAATGTGGGAGTTTCTTCGTTTCCGGACACACTTCTGTCCACTTCCTGTAGTTCTCTTGCAGCTTGTTTTGCAACTTGATCAGCCAGATGGTTGCCCCTTGGTTCATTCGAATCCAACTTCCCATGTGCCTTTACCTTCAGAATGGCCACTTCTTCAGCTCCTTGATTGTAGAACTGTGCTTGACTGGTGTACCGGCAGTGGTAAGAAATCCTCTTGTTTTCCAAATTAATCCGAAGTCATGAGCCACGCCCAGTGCATATCTTGAATCTGTGTAGATATTGGCGCGCTTTTCTTCAGATATCTTGCATGCTGAAGTTAGGGCTTGTAATTCAGCTTCCTGCGCAGACATTGTTGATGGTAGAGATGATGACTTGATAATTTCATCTGTTGTGGTGACGGCATATCCTGTGTGGTATTTTCCTTCTTCATCCGCATACCTTGAGCCGTCCACAAACAGGGTGAGGTCAGGATCTATTAGTGGATCCTCATGCACGGTTGGCATCTGTTCAAAACAGTTATGGGGCGTTTCTGGATCATAGTCGTGCTTTATGACCAGATCTTCAAATTCTTCTTCCAGAAAGTACCGTGGCCATGCTTTTACATGTTCAGTTGTTGGGTACTTGACAACGCCTTTTTCTTGGAGCTGTAGTTCATCCATGGTGGCCCATAGTTTTGCCATGGGCCCGAGCCATGGTAAATCCATAGTAGCTACCCCCCCTCAGGGAGTGGCAGAAGAGTGGACGGAGTCAGAACCTGACATCTTTGAAGGGTAACATTGTCAGGTAACAGGAGATGACATTGGAGACGAAGGTGCCTGGCAGGGGTGACATGTTTGAGTTGGACCTGGTTAAGTATGGCAGAAATATCATGAGGTGCCAAAACAGTCAGAGGGTGGCCAAGAACCAAGTCCCCAGTGCGGTTGATGAGTTCCTGAGCGGCAAAAACAGCTCGGAGGCAAGAGGGGGTTCCTCTAGCCACAATGTCCAGTTGGCAAGAGAAGAAGCCAAAAGGCCTTTGGCGGCCGCCAGGTCCATGGGCTTGAGTAAGGACTCCTGTAGCGTGGCCTTGTCTTTCAGACACAAATAATTTGTATGGTTTGGTGTAGTTTGGCAAGCCAAGGGCGGGAGCAGAGGCACTAGCACGTTGGAGAGTGTAGAAGTTGTCATGTGCTTCTGAGGACAGACAGAGTAGAGAGGCCTCTGGGATCCACGCTCGGCAGTAAGAAATGAGGCCTAGAAAGGCGTGGAGGGAGTTAGGAGTTTTTGGAGGCGGAATGGCCACGATCACAGGTGAGGTGTCTGGTGCCATGGGACAGGTAATGGCCTAGAAAGATTACTGTGGCCTGGCAAAATTGAAGTTTGACAAGAGATGCCTTACACCCCTGATCTGCAAGATAACAAAGGAGGTCCAGAGAACATTTTTCTGTCGTGGGGATGTCATCTCCAAGTAAAATGGGAAGGGAACAAAGAACTGCAGTGTCTTTTCGTGACAAAGGTGTATTTAATTGAACCTGGCCGTCTGCAGTGAGGGTCATGGATGCTTGGAGGCGGGATAGGACATCAGCACCCAAGAGGTTAATGGGACATGGACAGGTTACTGCGGGAAATACCATCAACACCAACACAAGAGACATCGGTGTCAGACAGGAACGATGAGTCAGGCAGGTCTTGTTCTCTAAGAACACTGCGAGCTGCACCTGTGTCAACCAGGAAAGTAGTAGGGTGACCTTCAATAGGTAAAGTTACAGTGGCTAGTGGCCCCCCTTGTTCCCTGTAGACACTGCCATGGCAGGGGCATTAAGCATCAGTGGGTTCTATCATTATAAATAATGGTTAATAGTAAGTGAAGTAAATTTCCTAAATATCTTTGGATAAAACATTAACTATTGCGGTACTATCATTTATATTAGTTAGACCATAACAATTATACCACCCTGTAACTAAAATGAATAACCAGTAGTGGCTGGGTTAATAAAACATGTCACAAACCCTTCTAATGCTAAACCATCATTTAAAGTAAAGGATGTTACTGTAAACCTACGATCTGTAACTAGCAAGATTCGATTAAGTAAAGATACAATGTTTAAAATAACTTGCATTATTTGGCTATTTCCCTTGTTGCAAGATTAATCTGGATAATCAGCTGTTATGCTCTTATATTCGTGTCCAACAGATCTCATTTGTAGGTCACACCACAGTTGCAAATGACATTCTAGCAACCTTCTTTTTTTTTTTTTTATCACGGACAAATTTCTGATACAGGGAAACAAATGGCATGATTGTTTTAGTAATTATAATGTTTCTGTTCATAATATGTAGAGTGTAAGGAAAACAACATGTCTCTAAATAGGACGAGCATAATAGGGGTAGGCCTCATGATGGAGGCAGCCATGACAGGGGCGGGGAAGGAAATGACAGCAAGGGAGGAAGTGAGAGGGGTGACGTCCATGATATGTGTGGGAAAGGAAGACAGGAGGTGTGGGCATGGTAAGGGCGGAAGTGACGTCACTTTAGAAGCAACCGTGACTGTAGATAGGTCACGGGACTGGCAGGGTCAACCTCCTTCTGTACTAGGCGCCATCTTTAGGGTGGTGGCTGACGCACTTTCAACAATACACTATATTATAACTAATAAAATAAGTCAGAGAAGCAACATTCTGTTCTGCAAAATGAAATACTAAACTATGAACAGACCTGGCAGGTTAAATAAGACAGTTGAAAACATTATGCATTTAACAGCCCATACAGCTGTCCATAGAAACATGTACTTTAAAATAACTTTAAAATAATAAAATGATGCAAAATAAACTCACGGAATTCAACCAATTTCCCTTATCATCCTCCAACCATTAATCACTTTCCTCTTCACATACTAAACAACTTCGCATATTCCCTCTATCCACATTGCATAGTTTTGCAACAAATCACGCTTGCCTTTACACTTAACACGTCCAAATATTCCTCTATTCTTGTATCAGATTCACTTACTTAACCTCCGTAATCAACACTGAGCTACATTCTTGTGTCTCCCCCACAATCCTCACTACTTTATCACAAAACACAATTTATATATATATATATATATAGCACCGTGGAATCTGCCGGCGCCATGCAAACGGCAACAATAATAATATTATTACACAATTATAACACCATAACCTTTGAATTAGAATATTTTCCAGCAAAAATCCCGTCTCTAACTCTTATCAGTAGCTCCGAAATGCAGAAATGTAGGCAAGCGGGGAGGAGGGGGGGGAGAAAGTGAGACAGTGCAAAAAGGGGAGAGAGAGAGACTGCAGGCATGAAAATTAACTATGTGAGTGCTGTAAAGTAACAAGACAGAAGGACAGAGACTTATACGTTTGGAAACCAGAAATCTTTGACGGGAGAAACGGACTGGAGGTGCAGGGAGCTGCAGAGAGAGGATGAGGGTGACGAGATCTGTAGGACTGATGGGGGGAAGAATAGGGATCCATCAGCATTCAGGACTGGGCAAATAGGGGTGGTGGTAGGGTGGGGACCAGGGGTGGGGACCATGGTCACCTACATTTCGGTCATTGCTGACGCAATGTTGGGAGTGGTCACCTCCTGGGCGCCATCATAGGGCGCTGGCTGGGAGGACTTCCCAGTAACACAATTATTATAATACACAAACAATCTTAAACCTTTGTGATCAATTTCTTCCTCAACCTATCCCTTTTGCTGAATAGCTCTTGCTACTCGGTACCAGGCTTCTGCTGTACGAACCAAATCGTGGTCCAACAGCTTCCCTTTCTTCTCTGTCAGTAACTTACGCCACAATCTCTGGCTACAATCTGCCGCACGGAGGTACGGTAATTCCACATACTTTAGCAATCTTCCTCACTTTCTTAACCATCTCTTCTCCTTCTCTGTCTTCCACTAGATCACATGCTAACCAACCCTTACTGGGTTTATCTAACTTCTGTCCCATCCTCCCTATATAAGGCGTCCCAGATATAGAGAAAGAGAGAAAAGAAGGTCTACAGTGCTCGACTGCTACGTAAGAGTGGGTTCCTACGTACGTCTTCCCAAAACGTAGACTAGTCACTAATTCCGCCTACCCGAGGTAGCCGCGGAATTGGAGCGTGGCGAGAAGTGTGTGACCAATCACTTCTCTCAACAAAGAAAGAGAAATAGGAGGGGAAAGTGTAAATAGTACAGTGAGTAAGATAAAAGTAAACACAGGAATCTGTGTGACAGACAATTAAGACAATAACATTTCAGTGTAAATACAGTGCATGCATCACAGTTCAAATAAGTTCAACAGTTTTATCCCTTGCCTTTACTCGTGTGGCCAAAAGCCACCTCCCTCAACCTCGTAGTGTCCCTGTTGCGGACCCACCCGCAAGTCTCACTACCAGCAGCCACAGGAAACAGCAACAGCTTCCAACCCGAATCCTGTATAGCCTAAAGAATTGGAATCTTACCTGCCTCAGCGCTCGAGGCTGGAATTTTACCAAGAAGAAGTGTCCGATGAGGCTAGCTAAGCAGTCAAAGCGACACTATGGGGAACCCCCAGGAAGCAGTGAGTCTACATCACCCTCCACAGATTCCCCCTACTCTTTTTCCTTACAGCCACAGCTACGTGGCTCCTAAAAGACTTAAACAGGCAATAGAGGACCCCCAGGAAAACTTCCACAGGTCCACCCCCCTTTTTCCTTACTACCACAGCCACGTGGTACCTAAAAGGAGTAAACAGGCACTCACACTCCCCGGGTACTAAGTTAAACACAAACCAATACAAACACACCCAGGCAACAGATAGTCAACATGCAGGTAAATTAAGTATCATTAACAATACAAAGACTCTGGGCAAGTTATTACCTGACTTTGATGTCCTCTCGGCAGCAGTCACAGACACTGGGACAGGTCAATCACAGGGGTAGGAACATACCGGCTAGGTGCTGCAGCAGTCTCTACCGTGTATTCAGAGGTGATCAGGCTCTTTTCCTTCCCCCAGGATTCATCCCCCCAGCATCTTCTTGGACAGCTGCCCAGGCAGGACATAACCCAGAGCCCCACGTTTTGGGCGCCAACTGTAGTAGATGATTTACTGCAAACCAATTAGTTTGAATGACTATCTGTTCCTGTCCAAATTAAAGATAATAAAGTTGCGTGCACGCAGAAGTAAATTCACACTGAGACACAGAGTTCAGGTTAATGAAAGAACTTTGGAGAAGTTTAATGGCTTCTGATTAAAAAGCAGGCTCGCAGGCCCTTTTAAAGGCATTATTACATCATTGAAGAAAATCAAGATATAGACAAATAGACATTGTTAATTGGCTTAGGTGCTAAGTAGTTAGTAAAATGCCCTCCCTACGGGGTGTACCATCTTAGGTCACTATCCTCGTCATGATTGTCTCCTCCAGGGTTTAGCGCCATTTTGTTAACATGAGGAGCTCACTCGACGGGAGGGGCCTTTTGGCAGCTATCCATTTAGAGTGTAGCCTGGCACTGTTAGTTTCTCAAGGTTAGGTTTCAAGGCTTTTAGTAAATACACATTTTATCAAAACTATCATTGTAAGTGGGATGCTACAGTGTTTCACACTACAGATGCATAATATTTCTTGCTGACATGCAAATTCTATATTCTATAGACAAAGCTTTCTTGTAAAACTATGGGGCCTCTTAGAGGTATAGCAAGAGGATTTAAAGGGGCCTTACAGATTTATAGAGGCCTAATAATTCTACAACAGTGTCAGGAATATATGTTTGTATTCCTGACACTATAGTGTTCCTTTAACCCCTTTAGGACGGAGCCAAATGTACACATTGTGAACAAAGCAAAATGTAAACAAAACCTGGCATTTGCGCTACATGTCTGTCCAGCCGTAATACACCTCTTTCATATTAAATGCACCCACCCTTATTATATATCATTTTATTCAGGGGAAACAGGGCTTTCATTTAATATCAAATATTTAGCTATGAAACATAATTTAATATGAAAAAAATGGGAGAAAATACGATTTTTTTTTATTTTTTTAGTTCTAAATGACATTTTAAAGGTCAGTGTCATAATACTGTTTGCTTTTACTGCAATAAAATACACATATTTGTATTTAGTAAAGTCTCACGTGTAAGACAGTACCCCCTATGTACAGGTTTTATGGCGTTTTGGGAAGTTACAGGGTCAAATATAGCACGTTACATTTGAAATTGAAATTCGCCAGATTGGTTACGTTGCCTTTGAGACTGTATAGTAGCCCAGGAATGAAATTTACACCCATAATGGCATACCATTTGCAATGGTAGACAACCCAAGGTATTGCAAATGGGGTATGTCCAGTCTTTTTTAGTAGCCATTTGGTCACAAACACTGGCCAAAGTTAGCGTTAGTATTTGTTTGTGTGTGAAAAATGCAAAAAACGCCAATTTTGGCCAGTGTTTGTGACTAAGTGGCTACTAAAAAAGACTGGACATACCCTGTTTGCAATACCTTGGGTTGTCTACTATTGCAAATGGTATGCCATCATAGGGGTAATTTTCATTCTTGGGCTACCATAGGGTCTCAAAGGCAACGTAACCAATCTGGCGAATTTTAATGTGAAAAAAATGAAACATAAGCCTTATATTTGACGCTGTAACTTTTGAAAACACCATAAAACCTGTACATGAGGGGTACTGTTGTACTCGGGAGACTTCGCTGAACACAAATATTTGTGTTTCAAAACAGTAAAAAGTATCACAGCAATAATATTGTCCGTGTAATGCTGTTTGTGCATGAAAAATGCAAAAAACTTCACTTTTACTGGCGATATCATCGTTGTAATACATTTTACTGTTTTGAAACACTAATATTTGTGTTCAGCGAAGTCCCCCGAGCAGAACAGTACCCCCCATGTACAGGTTTTATGGTGTCTCGGAAAGTTTTAGGGTTAAATATAGTGCTAGCAAATTAAATTCCCTTTACTTTCAGCATGGGTTATCAGGCAGGTCCTGCTAATTGTAATTAATTAAGATACCTAATTATGTAAAAATATTACATAAATATATATGTAGAATTAATATATGTATATATATACGTATGTGTATATATATATGTATATATCTATATAATTTTTTTTAAATATTTTTATTTATATATAAGTATATATATAGTAATATATACGTATATATTTATGTATATAGATATATATATTATTTCGTTCTACATGTATATTGATATATATATATATATATTAATTTCACAATACAGTTAGAACGAAATAACACACATCTAAATATTTTTTAATTATTTATTTTTAATTATTTTTTAAATTTAATTTTTTAACGTATTTACATTTTTATTTTTTTTATATTATATATAAATATATATAACAATAATTATATATATATTTAATCAGTATCTGTCTACGTGTAATTTGATATTAATATATATATATATATAATTATATATATATTAATAGTAAAATACACCTAGACGGTGTACATGTGTGTATGTATATGTGTATATATATATACTTAGATCATATATATATAATATATATATATGATCTAAGTATATATTATTATTTTTTTACACTTTTAACTCATTTTATTTTTATTTTCAGCCAGCAGGGGGACCACCTGTCATTACAGGCAGCCCCCCTGCTGGCAATGCAGAAGGCAGCTATCCCCGGCCATGTGATTGTGGGGTCCTCGCAAGGACCCCACTCTCACACGGCCGGGGGGCTTCGAGGAGGACGGTCGTGCCGCGGGGGGCTCCCTGGGAGTCCCCCCCACCACGATCGCCGGCGTGGGACTGCCGGCGACCGGGTAAGTACCGAAAGACCGGAGGGCGTACTATTACGCCCGGCGGTGTTTAGAGCCGCCTATAATAGGGCGTAATAGTACGCCCTCCGGTCTAAAGGGGTTAATCAAATTAAAGGAACATTTTAGTCACCATAACAACTTCAACTAAATGAAAATTCTATGATGCAAGGAGGCCCCTGGGCGCTCTCTTTCCTTTATCCCCTTAAGACCAGAGGGCTTACTATAACGCCCTATTTTAGGCGGCTCTAAACGCCGCCGAGCGTAATTGTACGCCCTCCGGTCTTTCATTACTTACCCGGTCACCGGCAGTCCCACACCGGCGATCGCGGTGGGGGGGACTCCCAGGGAGCCCCCCCGCGGCAGATCCTCTTCCTGGCAGCCCCCCCGGCCATGTGAGAGTGAGGTCCTTGCGAGGACCTCACAATCACATAGCCGGGTAGGCTGCCTCCTGCATTGCCAGCAGGGGGACTGCCTGTAATGACAGGTGGTCCCCCCTGCTGGCTTAAAATAAAAATAAATAAATTAAAAAGTGTAAAAATAAAAATAAAAATGTATACTTAGATCATATATATATATTATATATATATGATCTAAGTATATATATATACACATATACATACACACACATATACTGTCTAGGTGTATTTTACTATTAATATATATATAATTATATATATATATATATTAATATCAAATTACACGTAGACTGATACTGATTAAATATATATATAATTATTGTTATATATATATTTATATATAATATAAAAAAATTAAATATGGAAATACGTTAAAAAATAAAATTTAAAAATAATTTAAAAATTTTTTAAAAAATATATAGATGTGTGTTATTTCGTTCTAACTGTATTGTGATATTAATATATATATTTATATCAAAATACACGTAGAACGAAATAAAATATATATCTACATACATAAATATATACGTATATATCACTATATATATACCTATATATAAATAAAAATATTTGTAAAAAATTATATATATATATATACACATATAGATTCACATACGTATGTATATATATATATATATATATATATACATATATTAATTCTATATATATATTTATGTAATATTTTTACATAATTAGGTATCTTAATTAATTACAATTAGCAGGACCTGCCTGACAACCCATGCCGAAAGTAAAGGGAATTTAATTTGCTAGCACTATATTTAACCCTATAACTTTCCAAGACACCATAAAACTTGTACATGGGGGGTACTGTTCTACTCGGGAGACTTCGCTGAACACAAATATTAGTGTTTCAAAACAGTAAAGTGTATTACAACGATGATATCGCCAGTAAAAGTGACGTTTTTTGCCTTTTTCATGCACAAACAGCACTTACACGGACGATATTATTGCTGTGATACTTTTTGACTGTTTTGAAACACAAATATTTGTGTTCAGCGAAGTCTCCCGAGTACAACAGTACCCCTCATGTACAGGTTTTATGGTGTTTTCAAAAGTTACAGCGTCAAATATAAGGCTTGCGTTTCATTTTTTTCACATTAAAATTTGCCAGATTGGTTACGGTGCCTTTGAGACCCTATGGTAGCCCAAGAATGAAAATTACCCCTATGATGGCATACCATTTGCAATAGTAGACAACCCAAGGTATTGCAAACGGGGTATGTCCAGTCTTTTTTAGTAGCCACTTAGTCACAAACACTGGCCAAAATTGGCGTTTTTGCATTTTTCACACACAAACAAATACTAACGCTAACTTTGGCCAGTGTTTGTGACCAAATGGCTACTAAAAAGACTGGACATACCCCATTTGCAATACCTTGGGTTGTCTACTATTGCAAATGGTATGCCATTATGGGTGTAAGTTTCATTCCTGGACTACTATAAAGTCCCAAAGGCAACGTAACCAATCTGGCGAATTTCAATTTCAAATGTAACGTGCTATGTTTGACCCTGTAACTTCCCAAAACGCCATAAAACCTGTAGATAGGGGGTACTGTTTTACACGTGAGACTTTGCTGAATACAAATATGTGTATTTTATTGCAGTAAAAGCAAACAGTATTATGACATTGACAGTTAAAATGTCATGTAGAACTAAAAAAATCAAAAAAAATCTTATTTTCTCCAATTTTTTTCATATTAAATTATGTTTCATTGCTAAATATTTGATATTAAATGAAAGCCCTGTTTCCCCTGAATAAAATGATATATAATAAGGGTGGGTGCATTTAATATGAAAGAGGTGAATTACGGTTGGACAGACATGTAGCGCAAATGCCAGGTTTTGTTTACATTTTGTTAGTCCAATAATCTACCAGATTTTTACAAAAGCCTAATTTTAATATGCCTAAAAAGATATCTTATCTTATATTAGAGCAAATCAATACACCTGGATAAAAACAACGGTATGCTAACACGTGATACTATCACATTAATATATAATTATTCTTAATTCCACCTGCAGAATTGAATGTTTATACCTATATATTCTTTAGTTAACTAAGATTTCTAAATATTGAAATCTGACTGTGATTTATCCAGTCATATATCATGCTATTAGTAAATTTTAATTAATTTAGATTAATTAAATAAAACCAGCATAATTACCAGTTATGTAGGTATTCTCATCAGATGAGTAGGTAGTCCCAGGAAAATGCAAGTATGATTGGTTGTATGGAGGTGCGTGAGTAATAGACAAAAGTGATGTTGGTTAGAAAGTATTAGTAAATTTTAAGTGTCAAGGAGTTTAAGAGTTGAGTGTTAGTCCCAGAGAGTGTCCTGAATCTCTCTCTCTCTGCATGTCCGAATCTGAATGCCCAAAACTCTACCAACTCCCAAACTCCACCAACTAACTTCTCTCTTCCCTTTGTCCTAACTTTTAAAGGGCCAGACTCTCTGTACGTCATTAGTTGACAAAGCCAATAGGAAACTGTAGGTGTGTTCAACCTTCAGATCGCAATTTATGTATTTGGTCCATAGAGGACAGTCTCGCCTTACTAAACCTTCCTATCCAGGAAATAGTTAACTTTTCCTGATGACGATTTTGACGTCATTTGGCTTATCTAAAATGACTACCATAACTTAAATTTGCTGTTAGTTCAAAACGTTTGTCTCAGTCTTTGTGGCAACTACTTTGATCGTAATTTGTAAAATTGAGAGTTCTAAACTCAATTTCACCCCTTACTTACAATGAGACCTTGTAAAATTTAGAAAGTAAAATGAATTACTTAGTCTTCTCTGTCACTAGTGTCTGTGTTTATATAATGCATTCCTTAGCTCAGGCTCAGTGGTTAGTGAAAGCAAGGAAATTATGTGTCTTTGTTATCCTGAAGATAGCAAAATGGAGTCCGCTCTGTTCTGAGTGACTCTGGCAATATACACTTTTAATTTCTTTCTTAGCACAAAATGTCTGCCGATATAAATATCCTGACATAATCCCCCTTAGTGATTTTTCATAGCAATGATTAATTTAGTCTATGAATAAGCACTATAGCAGTTACAAGACATATTGTGCACTCACATCATTTCTACTGACATAGGCCCGTGCGTGGAATTAACATTTTTGTATATTTTTGTACCTGTAAGACCTTTGAACTTTACACTTAGTACAATCAACCATAATATTATTATTATCATAGCAAATTGTTTTCATTTGAAAAATGTTTTTGGGAGTTACATATGGTATGGTTAATAAAAAGCAAATCTCCATGCATGGTTAATAAAAAGCAAATCATCCATGATCAATTAAGAGAGGGATAGCGCTCCCCATCTCAAAGGCCAGATTTAATTGCATAGGTTCAATAGTTTCTCCATCCACATTGGCAAGCATCGTATGAACAATATCCTTGGCTACAAAGTACAGAGGTATGTGTCCCCCTGCCAATTCGATCATTCCAGTTTACACTTCGTCAAGAAAAGCAAGTGTGTGGAACAATATTGGGTCATGCAGAAATAGAAGTTCACGCTTAAATAAGTCATGACTTTGGTGCAACTCAGTGGATTTGGCAATTAACTCCGAATGCAAATTTGTTGTAACAACTGTGTCTTCCACAATAGTTAACACGTCTTGGAGAAGTGTTCTTTGCTGTTGTATCACCTGATGAATATCGTTAATGTGTTGCTTTAGCGCATAGATTTCCATATCCAGCTTTTGGACAGTAATAGAGTTGGCTGCAGACATTCCAGTTGCGACAACTGCACTGACAGTGGTACAAAATAATGCAACAATTATGGCGGTGAGGAACCTTTTGGGTCGGTTGCTCATCGAAATAGTACTGGATACAAATGGTTTCCGGGCTTGCTCCAAGATGTTTCGATGTGCTCTTTGGAGGTGCATCTGGTACCAAGTCTGTAACTCATGAAGCTGCATCGATGAAATGTTGTATGCCTTCTCGATGGAAATCTTGGGGTCCAAGCTGACGAACACACGTCGGGTCAGGATCCTCTTCTCTGTCAAGATGAACCCTGGTGTCTCTTGAATCAGGATGCCGGAGGATGGTCCCATCTCTGCGATCGGGTCGGTCCGTAGCTCTTGGCACAGGAGCAGTACGATCCAGAAATACGCCACATCCTTCTTGGACATCTTTCGACAGTCACGGATCAGGAACTCATTTCAGACTTATCTACTAATGATTCAAGTTTGTTAAGCATACAAACTTATAACAGTGTGACATCACTTGGCCTAGGACAACACATTATTACAATTCATCAACATATGTATTCTGTCTAATTATATTTTTATAACTTCATCCCTCACTACATTTATTACTGACTCTTCAGTAATTCGCCTATAGCAGTTAAACAAGCTAGTAACCTGCTTAGAAAATGTAGTTATTGGATGGCAAGGAAATGGTAAATGACATGAACGTACATGAGATCATGGCACATCACAACATTTCACATCATACGATACCACGTGAATCAAGCATTCATCCAGGTTAGTCGTTCACCCTTCTGCGTCCGAATCCACACCTATAATCCTTAATTGAGATTTAGGATGACAAGCACGCAACTGGTTAATGTGAACCCACTATTCAATAAAATTAACATCCTTAGGAATTTTTATCTTATACGCTACTGGGGAAATGTTGTCAATGATGACAGATGGCCCTTTCCAAGAAGGTAAAAATTTATTTTCCTTAACTTGATTTCGTGCAAAGTTATACAGATAGACTTGATCTGTGATCTCATATTCCTTTTTCGTGGTTTTTAAATCGTAATAGGTCTTAACCCCTGTCGCTGCTTTTTCTAGATTCTTTTGGACAAAAGCAAACGCATGCTGTAAATGCTTGCGCAAATCTTCGATATACTTATGCGTAGTGGCAGCATTGATCAAGTTATGATCCGAAGTACGATATAGTAAATGCTGTAGTAAAACCATCTTTCTTTCTGTCATTTCAATTCAAAAGGTGACAATTTGGTAGCAGTGCTAGGTGTAGCTCTAATCGCCATTAAAACTAGGGGCAATTTAATGTCCCAGTCTTTACCAGACTCCTTAACATACTTCTTCAGAATATTAACGATAGACTAGTTATATCGCTCTACCTCCCCCCCCCCCTCCCCGCTAGATGCAGCGCGGTATGCAATATGTAGCTTTCGTTTAACACCTAGAATTTTCCACATCTTAGCCATTTCTTCGCTGGTAAAGTGACTACCTCTGTCTGACTCAATTCTTTGAGGCAGACCGAACCTGGAAAAGACATGGTTAATCAACAAAGTGGCGCACACGGTACTCGTGTTCTCTTTACAAGGCAAACACTCTATCCACTTTGTGTACATACATGTAACGGTTAACATGTATTTGTTACCTGTTGAAGATCTTGTTACAAGACCTATAAAGTCAGTTTGAATATCAGACTAGGGTAATGACACCCCCCTCTTCTGAAGTGGTGCACGATGGGTTGGACCATGGGGTTGATATTGCGGACAAATCAAGCATCCCTGACAGTATGTCTTAACATCTCTTAACATGTGTGGCCAATATGCATAATCACTCAATATCTCATATGTGATCTTATCACCATGATGCCCAGATGTAGGTGCATCATGTGCGTGTTGGAGCATTAACCCTCTGTATACAGTTGGGTTACCATGTTTATAAGTTCTGACCAGCAACCCATCCATGATACTAAATTGGACTTTATATCTCATCAAGATTCGTAAATCTTCATTATCTTTGCAATCCTCATCTGTGATGGGATTGGCAGTAGGGTCTTCTATATGTCTATAGAATATGCCTATGACGGGATCGTTCTTTTGACTGGTAATCAGGTCCTCACTAGGAGCTTCTTGACTCCATTGCACGACATTTAAGTCGGCATTATCTCTAGCCTGACGTCTAGTTATGGCTTCAACATGATTTGAACCCATAAGATCATCAATGTTTAGGGTTTCACCATTGACGGCTGCTTGTTTTGCCAATGAATCGGCTAAGTCATTACCATCCTTGTCAATACCTTCTATTTTAGAATGGCCTTTGGTTTTCTTCCAATATATGGTTAAACCATTTTCCTTAACCAGTTCATCGATTCTACAAAACAATTTCCCATGTTTAACAGGTTTGTTATTGCTTTTCAGCATTTGGTTACATTTCCAGCTAGGCAGATATTCGACGAAACTGTTGCGAACATAGTTGGAATCAGTTATAATAACAAATTCTTTGATACCATATTCTATTGCCATTTGAATGGTCTTGTATACCGCACAGAGTTCGGCTATCTGACTGCTTTTGGGACCAATATTTTATCCTATAGATACATTGGGATAATCACCTGTCCAGGCGATTCCGATACCTGCAACTAACTTCCGTTCAGCACCAGCGGCGTGGTGATATGAACAACCATCAATGTATACCCACGGTAGTGGTCAACAGTATTCCTCATCATAAACTTTATAAGGGGATAGCTATTGCTCTTCTAGGAAGTCATCTCCGGTGTCATTATCATCCAGAGATGGAGCAGTACAGTCATGTAATTATGCTAAACCTTGGGCAACTGGGCTTCTCTTATTATGTTTATAACGGACTTCTAGTGGCCATCCCGGTAAGGATAGAGTCCATGCAGTAATCCGACTGTTAGAGAGATAACCGTCTCTAATTCTTTCACTCTGCAGATACTGTAGAGGTTGGTGAGCTGTTTCTACAATTATTTTCTCACCTTGGATATAGCTACGAAAATTTTGTAGTGCCCAGACAGTCGACAATAACACCTTCTCACACGTGTTGAATTTAACTTCAACCGGTGACAAAGTCTTGCTAGGATATGCAATAACTTTGTTTAGACTGTCCTGCTTCTGATACAGAACAGCACTTATGCTTAAATCGGTATATCCTGTCTCCAGATAGAAGGGTTTACCCCCCTCTGGGTATGCTAAACAGGGTGCCTAAGTGAGCTTCCTCCTCAGTTCACTTACCGCTTGGTCCTGAGGCTCTCCCCAGTTCCAGGTAGTTTCCTTTTTAAGCAGGTGTAAGAGTGGTTTCGTTATTTCTGCATAGTTATCTATAAACTTACGGGAGTAGTTAGTCATACCAAGGAACGATCTTAATTCCCTGATGTTTGAAGGTGTTTTAGCCTTAATTACAGCTTCAACCTTCTTCCTCTGGGGATTTAATCCTTCAGAAGTTACCTCGTGTCCGAGGAAATTGACATGGGTGCGACACCATTGCGCCTTTTGTAAAGACAGTTTTATCCCTGCCTCTCTTAACTGAGTGAGAACATGTCTTATCTCTGTGATATGCTTATCAAAGGAAGTGCTTTTCAGCAAGACATTCCTCTCTCGAGTACATCAGGCATAGCTTTATGCATGAACACAGCGAATTCATGACCAGAGTTTATGTAACCAAAGGGCATACGGGTCCATGTATACTGCTGCTTTCTAAATGTGAAGGCCAATTTGTATTGGTCTTCATCATGGACTGGTACAGTCCAATGTCCCTGCGCACAGTCAATAGCAGTGAATATTTTGGATCCCTGCATTTGTACCAAACATTGGTCTATGTATGGCACTGGCCAACCAGACCTATAGACGCGTTTATTTAGCTGTCGTAAGTCAGCGCATAAACGCCATTGTCCATTAGGTTTCAGAATCCCCAAGATCGAATTATTATACCAACTGTGCAGTGGACGTATAATGCCCCTTTCCTTTAAATTCTGAATGATGTCTTGTAGACCATCATATGACGCTAATGGGAGTCTATATTGTTTGATAAATACAGGTGGTAAATTTGGATCAGTTTGTATTCTGGCTACGTGGAGGTTAGTTAATTCCACTAGGATATCCTTTAGCTGATGCCGCTCAGCATCGTTGGAGCAACCGTCAGCTAAAGATATTTGCTCTTCTAGCCTTTCCTGAAATCCTGAAAAGATTTCAGGCTGGCCTATCTCATAAGCTTCTTCAAGCCTAGAAGTTTGGTCAGTTCAGTGTTGACTTACCTTTTCTCTTTGGTCGTGATACTCTTGTGATTCCTGCTCATTGAGCGGATGATCGAAGGTGATTGATGCTTCTTTGATTTCACACGAGCCTTCTTCGACGTTGAAGGGATACACAGATAGGATATTGAATAATCCTTCTGGGGAGGAATGGAATATTTGATGTACAATTTCGTCCTCAGTTAAGTATTCTTCAGGGATGAGGCCAATAATTTGGTTTTGGAAACCAAATGTATAGTACTCAGCATCCAATGCTAGACCTAATAATGTTCCCTTTGGTAAAGTAACACTATTGGGTGTAACATTGTTGACCATAATATAGGTGGGATTCTTACCAATACTTACCATTGGTGTATGGGTTACCACCATCCCTGATTGTTGTATCCTGTTGGAGTTTTCCAATCTCTGACCCTTCTTGACCTGTAGGGGTAAATTAAAGTTACTTGTCCCTTGTGGAATGGTTATGTCATCAGGTACTTGGATACATACCGCATATGGGAGTATTTGTCCTGATTTCAGGGCGTTTTCCTCTTGTAGGTATCCACAAGGATTACCTTTTAACCATCTCCACGAGTTATAATTAATCAGGTCAAGGTGTATGGCAAAGCTACGTATGACATCATTGCCAATGTAAACCTGATAGCGAGATTCGTTTATCACTAGGAATAAACGTTTAACTGTCTTATTTCCAATGGAAATAGATAGGAAACATTTTGCTATCACATTGTGACTCTCTGATTCGCCATCCAGGTTCTGGATCCACCTGTCATGTGGGGAAGCATACCTGATGATTTTAGGATTAGCGATCTGCTTTAACAGACTTCTGCTAATATAGCTGTTCTCACTCTTTAAGTCCAGCTTTGCATTCCTACTTCTCCCTACATCAGTTATTTGAATAGGAAAGAATAAGTTGTTATTAACCCTTTCAATTCTGGCAAGGAATTGAGCATGACCTGCCAGATCTACAGATTCAATATAGTCCCTGTGGAGAGAAATGGTTAAAACATCACCTTCCAGAGAGACATTCTGGATCCTCTCTGGAGCAACTCTTACGGAATGCTCATCTACAGGTGCGATTGTATCATTCACCTGCAGGATAGTCACGTCAGGTGACTGACTATTCCTAAAATGTATCTCAATCGAGTCAGGTCTTTCT